CAGTTGGGTTGGAAGAGCCCCAGTTGGGTTGGGAGAGCCCCAGTTGGGTTGGAAGAGCCCCAGTTGGGTTGGGAGAGCCCCAGTTGGGTTGGAAGCCCCCCAGTTGGGTTGGAAGAGCCCCAGTTGGGTTGGAAGAGCCCCAGTTGGGTTGGAAGAGCCCCAGTTGGGTTGGAAGAGCCCCAGTTGGGTTGGGAGAGCCCCAGTTGGGTTGGAAGAGCCCCAGTTGGGTTGGGAGAGCCCCAGTTGGGTTTAAAGAGTCCAGTTGGGTTCAAGGGCCCCCAGTTGGGTTGGAAGAGCCCCAGTTGGGTTGGGAGAGCACCAGTTGGGTTGGAAGGCCCCCAGTTGGGTTTGAGGGCTCCCAGTTGGGTCGGAAGGCCCCAGCCGGACCCCCAGGTGAGGGTGTGGGTGGTTCCACGCAGATCCAACAGTTCTCCAAGAAGGAGATCGAGGACCTGCTGCGCAAGGGCGCCTACGCCGCCATCATGGACGAGGACGACGAGGGCGCCAAGTTCTGCGAGGAGGACATCGACCAGATCCTGCTGAGGAGGACCACCACCATCACCATCGAGAGCGAGGGCAAGGGGTCAACGTTTGCTAAGGTAATTAGCTAATGAGGGGTTAATTAATTAATTAACGATGGGCCACCACCATCACCATCGAGAGCGAGGGCAAGGGGTCAACGTTTGCTAAGGTAATTAGCTAATTAGGGGTTAATTAATTAATTAACGATGGGCCACCACCATCACCATCGAGAGCGAGGGCAAGGGGTAAACGTTCGCCAAGGTAATTAGCTAATTAGGGGTTAATTAGTGAACAATTGACCAGATCCTGCTGAGGAGAACCACCACCAAGGGCTCCACCTTCGCTAAGGTAATTAGCTAATGAGGGGTTAATTAATTAATTAATGATGGGCCACCACCATCACCATCGAGAGCGAGGGCAAGGGGTCAACGTTTGCTAAGGTAATTAGCTAATGAGGGGTTAATTAATTAATTAACGATGGGCCACCACCATCACCATCGAGAGCGAGGGCAAGGGGTCAACCTTCGCCAAGGTAATTAACTAATTAGGGGTTAATTAGTGAACAATCGACCAGATCCTGCTGAGGAGAACCACCACCAAGGGGTCAACCTTTGCTAAGGTAATTAGCTAATGAGGGGTTAATTAATTAGTTAATGATGGGCAACCACCATCACCATCGAGAGCGAGGGCAAGGGGTCAACGTTTGCTAAGGTAATTAGCTAATGAGGAGTTAATTAATTAATTAACGATGGGCCACCACCATCACCATCGAGAGCGAGGGCAAGGGGTCAACGTTTGCCAAGGTAATTAGCTAATGAGGGGTTAATTAGTGAACAATCGACCAGATCCTGCTGAGGAGAACCACCACCAGGGGTTCCACCTTCGCTAAGGTAATTAGCTAATTAGGGGTTAATAATTAATTAACGATGGGCCACCACCATCACCATCGAGAGCGAGGGCAAGGGCTCCACCTTCGCCAAGGTAATTAGCTAATGAGGGGTTAATTAATTAATTAACGATGGGCCACCACCATCACCATCGAGAGCGAGGGCAAGGGGTCAGTGTTTGCTAAGGTAATTAGCTAATGAGGGGTTAATTAATTAATTAATGATGGGCCACCACCATCACCATCGAGAGCGAGGGCAAGGGGTCAACGTTTGCTAAGGTAATTAGCTAATGAGGGGTTAATTAATTAGTTAACGATGGGCCACCACCATCACCATCGAGAGCGAGGGCAAGGGCTCCACCTTCGCCAAGGTAATTAGCTAATTAGGGGTTAATTAGTGAACAATTGACCAGATCCTACTGAGGAGAACCACCACCAAGGGCTCAACCTTCGCTAAGGTAATTAGCTAATGAGGGGTTAATTAATTAGTTAATGATGGGCCACCACCATCACCATCAAGAGTCAGGGGAAAGGGTCAACTTTTGTTAAAGTAATTAATGGGATTGATTAATTAATTAATTAATTAATGGAGGGCCATCCCCATAAAGAGTGAGGTTAAAGAGGCCACGTTGGCTGAGGTAATTAACAGGATTAATTAACGGCCACGCCCCCCCCCAGGCGAGCTTCGTGGCGTCCGAGAACCGCACGGACATCGCGCTGGACGACCCCAACTTCTGGCAAAAATGGGCCAAGAAGGCCGACCTGGACCTGGAGCTGCTCAACAGCAAGGTGGGACCACCACGCCCCTTTGGGGGGGGGGGGCGTGGCCGTGGGGGGCGTGGCCATCCCCCCCCTCCTCCTTCAGGTGCTAAAAGGGGCGTGTCCTCCCCGGGGGGGGGCGGGGCAGAACACGCTGGTGATCGACACGCCGCGGGTGCGGAAGCAGACGCGCCACTTCAGCACGCTGAGGGACGACGACCTGGTGGAGTTCTCGGACCTGGAGAGCGACGACGACCTCGAGCGCCTCGACCGCGACCGCGGCGGCGGCGGCGGCGGCGGCGGTGGAGGCCGGGGGGGACGCCGGCACCACCCCCACCACCACCAGCACCACCAGCAGCAGCACCAGGGCGGGCCCTACGGCAGGACGGACTGCTTCCGGGTCGAGAAGCACCTCATGGTCTACGGGTGGGTGAGGGCGGCCCACTGGTGACGGCCCCTTGACCTCGTTGACCTCGTTGACCTTCCCATTGACCTCGTTGACACTGTTGACCAACCCATTGACCTCGTTGACCTCATTGACCTCGTTGACCCTCCCGTTGACCTCGTTGACACTGTTGACCAACCTGTTGACCTTGTTGACCGCCTTGACCCCCCCATTGACCTTGTTGACACTGTTGACCAACCCATTGACCTTGTTGACACTGTTGACCCTCCCATTGACCTCATTGACCTCATTGACCCTCCCATTGACCCCGTTGACACTGTTGACCAACCCATTGACCTCGTTGACCTCATTGACCTCGTTGACCCTCCCATTGACCTCATTGACCCTCCCATTGATCTCGTTGACACTGTTGACCAACCTGTTGACCTTGTTGACCCCGTTGACCCCCCCATTGACCTTGT